CGGCTCTCAAAATTTTATCACAGTATTCTAAGGAATAGGAAGGTTCCAAAAGTTTTATCAACTTTTTTTTATCAAAAATTATTCCTCTAGTTAAGTCAAATAAAAAATCTCTTAATGATCCACATAATTACAATGGAATAAGTACTTTACCTATCTTTAATAGACTTCTAGAATATCTTATTTTACTTATGTCCTATTATAACTGATAGACACCAATTTCGGTTTAAAAAAAATACCTCTTCACTCCACGCAGAGGTTCTATTGAGTGAGACTATACTGCACTATAAAAAAAAAATAATCATAATATTATACTCAGAAGTAATAAATTTATACAAACATCATAGACATATGCAAACTGTCGGTTCTAAGTATTAATTGATAAAAGAAAGCAAGCAAATGTTCAAAGGCCATGTTGGTAAATAAATTTCTCCACATTAACTTTGCACATCACCTTGCATCTCACAATTTTTAAACTTGTAAGTCAACTATGCATAGCGTCATCATTGCAGTATTTCATCTTAGCTTCATTTTGACATACATGAATAAACTCATGAAAGTCTCTTGTTCCTGGTATTGTTTTTACATTTTTAAATTGTTCAGATTGAAATAATCTTATTTTTATCAAACTTTCGCTTGAAACACAAATAAAGTTAATACCTTTGATTTTGTTAGTGCAATATGTAAACATATCTTGTGAGTTTAATATTTAATTTGTAGAAATGCTCTGCAAACTAGCATTAAACACTAGCCGTTTAACTTTAATTTCTGCCTATAGAATTTTCAAAGAACTTTTTTTTGCAATAGTTTTAAATTTTCTTTTCCCAATAACTGCTTAACTATTGGCGCACCAATTAAACTGAGACAATCAGAGAGTTATTGTTTGCATTTATTTACATCAGCTTCAAGTTGAATGTTAAATATGTTTTCTTTATTTATGCTTTCATTTGTGTAACCATCAGCAGTATCAATGTTATCAGTATTAATTCAAGTGAAAATTTTTAAATTGACTAAGCTATTTTTACAAAATTCTTTGACCAGGTACAATGCTAAACCTGTTATTTAAAGATACGGTTCTAAACTTGATTTCTCTAAGAGATACTAAATTAAATAATAAAACTCAATAAAATAAAATGTGCTTAGGATCAGCAAACATAATAAACTTAAAACTATGACAAAGTAACATTTAAAAAAACTTTATCCCAAGCTTTACTAACCTTTGTATGGTCTTTTGTGAACTAACAGCGGATCACGGTATTTATTCTGAAACACAGAATGAACCCTGTGAGCAAGGCCGGCGCGATAGGGGGGTGTGACAACCCCCCCCCCCATCAATGATTTTTAGTCGGCAAACTGGACCCTTAGTCGGCAAATTGGACCCTTAGTCGGCAAATTGGACCTAGTTAGTCGGCAAATGTGGACTCCCTTTCGATATAGGTTAGACAGTCGGCAAATGTCGTCATGACAGTCGGCAATTTTTGGAAAACGAGGACCTTTTTTTTTTTTTTTTTTTAGTCGGCAAAAGTTGTAATGACACCCCCCCTACGTGACACCTACTCGCGCCGGCCCTGCCTGTGAGCAAGAATTTTTAGTGATGAAAGCAAATGTCAATTATGAAAACAGGAGAAAACCAGACCTCAGTGCTACTAAATTTTGCTCATTTGGACTTCAATGCAACTAAATTTTGCTTCTCTGGAGCTAAATCTTGAAAAAAGTTTATTCCAATGTGGTTTGTAAACTTTAATATGTGACAATTTGATTTTAAAATCAATTTAACTGAGCATTGAAATGAATAAGTGTAATCATAGAGGTTATAATAAGTGTATTCATAAAGATTATAACTAAAACGATAAATAAAAAATAAAATTGCAAAAAAAAAATTTAACAAAATAGATATATTCATTAAAAAAACAGTGAAATAACTTTTGTCTTTTACGGGTATTTACATGGCCGACGACACAGGTTTCGAAGTGGAGGGACACAATTGTCAATTTCTAAAAAAAGTATACATTTTTCTCAAAAAATAAAAATATTAAGGTTTAGGGTGTGTAGGGGGTGGGGAGGGGAAATACGTGTCGTCGATCTTGATTTATATATAAACTAACTTGTAAAGTATTGAAGTAAATAGATTAACACGTTTTTTGTAATTTATCTTAAAATAGACATGTTTACTGAAAAATTATTGTAAAAAACCTAGTTTACATTTCAAAGTTTTTTATTACATATAAGATCTAATAACTTCAAGTAATGATTATCGATTTCTTCCTTCAAAAGTTTCTATACCTATTAAACTTTGTAAACGTTTGGTTAGTGTAACTGTGTATACTTAAACATTTTAATGTTGGTGTAGACTTTTATGAGTGCGGAAAATAAAAAAATGTAAAAAATCTCGAACTTCAAAGACCCATTACTCTTAAAATAATGAAATAGGCTCAAATTATCTTTGATTATTTTTAATGGCACTGTTAACTACTTTTGAGGCAAATCTAAAATATAAAGAACTAAGAGTCCACAAAACAAAATAACATCGAAAAAACTCTTTGAAAGAAACTTAGGGAAATCCCATATTGACAAAAAACTTTTATCAAACAAAACGTTTTATTTCTTTCGGTCGACGGCACGTTTTTCAAAAACATGTTGCGAAAAACACGTTTTTTTTCGCGACGTGTTATATATCCGCTAGCCAATCCCATAATTTTTTTTCAACAACCAATTTTTATGCGAATTGGCTAATGAGTGGTATGAAGGTCATATTTATATATAAAATTTTATTATTTTTTATTTTTTCTTGATAGAAAAATTCGCGCCGCTTGTTTGAAGTTACGCTTTTTTTTATTTTTGACTAAATTTAGGGCAATTTTCAAGCATTGGAGCAAATACATTCTAATGTCAAATCCAGTTAATTTGTTCAATTTCTTTATGTTTTCTTTATGTGTTCCTGTACCAAAAAAAGCACTGTGCTTAATAATTTAACGAATATGTTGTGCCTATCTTACACTGATTACGATAGATAAATTAACACTTTGGCTACGGTAAAGTGATTTTTGTTGATCTTTAGGCTTTTTTCCAGTCATACAACAAACTTTATGTTTTTTGTATCATTTTTTTATCAAATGATGTTTTTTTAAAATACTGGAGCCTTGGATCAAACAAATCCAAATCTAAAATGGAGCCTTGGATCAAACAAATTCAAATTCAAAATGGTTTCCTCGAAAGATTGGGTAAAGGACTTCTAATCTTTTGTTTTGAACTAAACTAGATCAAAAATTATCAATGTGATTTAAAAAATATATATACACATTTTTTTTGTTTTAGGTGCTCTTAGAAGACCCAATGGTCGCATCACAGAGCACCGCAGAAAAGCATTTAACATGGAAATTTACGCTTCCTTCATGTTGAGAAAAGTCTAGAGTAGGCATCTAACCACAGATCAGTGAAGGATCCAGCATTTTTTGGTGTTTGAGATAGCTAACAGACATAGCGCAAACTCAAAACATTTTTATATTTATACTTATGTCAAATTATGATACGTAAAATATTGTGATGATTGGAGGCTAAAAACTAAAAAAAGCCCTAAAATGTCATCCCCCCTGCCCGAAACGAGAGAGCAACAAGTTGGTAAAATAATTTTTTTGAACTTCTTAACTTTGTTTATATTCATTGATAAACTTTAAGTTTCATAGTAATATCTCTCAGCGTTCATAAATTATAACCATATAATGTTTAAAACCCCTTTAATTTGAGGGGGTTTGCAAATTTTATATAGTCATAATTTTTGAACGCTTAGAGATTGTAAAGTAATACTTAAAATTTATCGATAAATGTAAATTTAGTTAAGAATAGCAAAAAAATTATTTCATCAACTTGTTGCTTTCACTTTTGGGACATGGTGGGATAAAATTTTAAGGCTTTTTTTGTTCCCAGCCCCCAATCATTGCAAATTTTTAAAAAGCATCATTATTTGGCATAAGTATAAACATACAAATGTTTGGATTTTGCTCCATGTCAGCTCAAACACCAAAAATCCGTCACTGCCACAGATCTCTTGTTTCTGAAGCAAATTTGCCTCAGAATTTAGCGTTTAAACGCTGCAAATGTGCAATAAATATTTATATACATATAACTTTTCAGCTTAAGACAAATATATTAAGAAAATATGTAAAAAAAATAATTTTTTATATGTACTTTTAAGGTTCAGAGTTTGCTGTTAGATATTGGATCAAAATTCAATTTATAAGAACCATTCAATAATGAGAAAGCGAGAAAACAATTTACTCTTCTTATTTATTTAAATGTTTTTTACAAGAACTCTTTATTTGAAGTAGCTTCTGAAGCTTCTCCGAGCTCATCACACGCTCTACATTATCTTGAATAAATTTTACTGTAAGCACAGCAAAATTGAATTTTTTGTTACGAAATATTTTTCTTAAAACAAGAAATACGTTTCTTGTTTTCTTTTTTTTAATTTTTTCCAGCTTAACAGTTTTACTTACGGCTTATGAAGTTCTCTGAGATGATAGCAGGAGGTTAACAAGTATAATGGTAGGCCAAGAAACTTAGCTAATCTTGAACAAACTCCTTGTAAATAGCCAGGGCTTGAAGTAGGTGAACTGTATGAGATCAAAAGCATCTAACAAATTTTTAATGTGTATTGGGCCTCAATGCTATTGTGTTTAAAAACCACATTTTTTTAGTTTCGTAACGAATTAGTGCGTTTTTAAAATACCACCAATTAACAAAATCATTGTAATAAAAATGCGCGCAATCGGTTTAGATAAAAGATCTTCCTTTAATGTAACGTAATGACGTTTGTAACGTAATGACGTTATTATATAGTTAATGATTTGTAAATTTCTATTCGCGCCAATTGTTTGTAAAATGTTTGTAAAAACTCAAAAAATGTAAAAAATTTTAAATTTTAAAAGGCGCGAGTAAAAGTAGTCATCTAAAAAAAAAAATTTTTAATAAAAAAACAGTACCTTGGGAATATTTTACGACACTGTGTATTAAAATTTGTTCATAAGGGTAAAAATGAGCTAATACCCGCGCACCATTAGTCACTGGTATTAAAATATAATGACTTCTTAAGCCTGTCTGAATCCTAAGTCGCATCCTAAAGTACACAAACCAATGAAAACGTCATCATAATTCGATTGTAAATAACAAATATTATTGAAAACAATTAGGAAGCTAAATTCTTTTCCATCAAATAACTAAATATCATTGTTAATCTTATAGATTCCATAGCTGGAAAAACTGTTGCCATATGGGATTTCAGTTCCAGGAGAAATAAAAACATTAAAAAAAGTATTTAGACAATACTTCTAACAAATAACATCTTTTTAACAACTAACTGTTTATTTAAAGTACATTTTATTGAGCGGCTTCAATTAAGCAAAATTGTTGGCTGTAGTATACTGTAACCAACCCAAATTAGTTATGAATGTAACCAAATTAGTATTGGATGTAAACTAACTGATGATTGATCTCATTGCTCTTTTTTGCCTAATTAGTAATGGAACTAAATGAGGATAGATTTCATTGCTCTGTTGTGTTGTAGCTAAAAGATTAAAGATTTCCTTCATTTGTTCCCAATAAGAAAAAGGCGAGTATTAATAGTGTGGTGAAATTATTGTGTTGAAAATCAGCATTTTCATAGTCATAAGTTTTAGAAGTTTAAGATAAAGAAATTTTATACAAGATAGTCTTCTAGTAGTCTAAGTTAAAATGAAACTTTAACATTGTTTACCTGACTTTGAATGCATAATGAAAGCTGATGTGTTTTCGCTTAACCTTTAGACATTTTGAAAATATTGATCATTAGCAATGATTTATGGCAATACCTACTACATAGTACCTAAATGACCAAGTACCACACAAAAGACAGCTTGCAGAGGAATCTGCCTGATCCCGTTTGGCCATTATAAAATTTTTTTTGCTCATCTTGATGACTTATCTTAATACACTAAAACTGTAAATAAATTTGATGGCAGACATTAATGGACCAGTAAAAAATATGTTGCTTTAAAAAATTACAAATATTTGAAATCTAGCATGCTATTGACATTAGCGCATCTCAACCTGGATCAAATTATTTGCTTATAAAAGAAATAACATTTGAAAACTTCAAAACAAGTAATTATTTAGGTAATTTAAGTTCATTTAAAATTGCTGTCAAAAGCATTTGAATAAATAAAACTTTGGATGTGTTAAATAGTTTTTGACTGTCACAATTAAAAAATTATGACAATCAAAAAAAAATTTAAAAAAAAAGAGGAGTTGGCAATATTATAAGTCTCTATGGGGATATTTTCAAAAGTAAACTTATGTTAATATGTAAAGTTTTCAATTTAATCCATCGTTTTACAGAATGATTTAAAAAAATAGTCTACAATTGATTCAAGAACAAAGTACTTGAAAGTTAGAGTTAAATTGTAAATAAACATAATGAAAGTATGTTTATTTATAATTTAGCAAATAAATTTGCTCAATCTTTTAATAAGCAATTTGTTTAACAAATTAACAAGGTATTAGTATATACAGTATTACTGTATATACTAGTATCTTGGTAACTTGTTAGACAAATTATTTGTCAGAAGATTAAACAAATTTAAATATTTGCATGGAAAGTTCAATATTTTTTATTATACTATCTAAAGTGAAAACTTATTTATAGTATACTTATAATCAAGAATATGTATTAATAAAATTGTGCTCATTTTTATCATTTAAACATTAAGAAAATGTTAATATTTTTTTTGAATTTTTTTTAGCTATAGTTCACAATGCCTAGAACTTTTCTTAAAATATATAATACGAATACCTGTGAAAATTTATAAAAAAATAAATAAAAAGCAGATGAATGCTAAAAAGAATATTATTTTGGCTAATATGTTTTAAAGCAGTTTAAGTAAACAATCTAATTATTTTTTAAACTTCTGTTTATTTAGTTTGTAAAAAATTAGTCTCTCTTCAACCAAGTACGACTGGATTTTGCCAGGTTTTGTGAGGGAAAGACTTTTTCCATTGTTACCTTTGCTTAAATATACAAATATTAATGGAGAGTTAGTAAAAAGTTCCTATCAGAAAAGCAGTTTAGTCATTCTGAAATTAAAGTGACAGGATTATTAGCAAACACAATTGCCTTTTGAAATTGCTGTTTTTGAAGCTAGAATTTTTATTCATAAGTATACTTCTAGACTTTTTATTCATAGTTATACTTCTAGACTTTTGCACTAAAGGCAATTGCTGTGCATATACACTAAGTATTGCAATTAAAATAAAAAAGTTTTATTTAGTATTGCAGTAGCAGCAGCAGTAGTCTTTATTAGGATCAGAAGGGTGACTTCCTTTTTTACATAGGAAAACATAATGACTAAATATATTGAAATTAATTTTTTACTGGTCTTGTCCATAAAACAAGTATTCTGCTTACCCTAAAGATTAGGAGAAAATAAATCTTTTCATTGTGAGATATATCATTGTCATGTTGCTACTGAGTTTTATGGTAAGCTTTCCTTTGAGATTTTTTTTTAGCATGAAAAATTTATTTTTTGTAAAAGGTTGATAGGTTTAAAAAGTTAGTGATTGACTGTTCATGCAAGTAACAATTCTCTCTATTAATATTGCGTTGAATAACATTATTGAATAACAAATTTGAAAGTTTTATTTAGCTTTAACAAATATTGTGAAAGCTTTACTTTCACAATATTTGTTAATTGAAGACAGTTTTAAATAATGTTATTTTTGGCTGCATTCAACTCTCTCCTATTTTTTATGTATATACAGTAGAGCAATACAGGCTGTTGTTATGTAAGTATTTAAAGTATTGTCAAATTTATTATTGCAAAAATTGAATCAAATTAAAATTTACACTGTTCTGAGTGAATGATATGAAGCTCAAATAAGTGAGTTATGTGATTTCTATTACAAGCATCATAGAGTAGGATAAGTGCAATGTCACATGCATTATAAATGAAAAGAAGGCATTATGAATGAAATTTTTTAACAACATGGTCAAAGGCCTAAAATGTACCTAAAGTCAGGGAAAGCTGGCTTTAGCTTAATTGAGCATAAAATAATTATTTTAATTACGTTAATGTGTAACAATAAAATAATGTCATATTCATACATAATGTTTGTATAAGACTTTTTTTATAGTTTCTATAAAGCATATATAAATGTGCACATTTTTCAAAATAGTATTTTTATAACAAATATTTCATGTGTTTACAGAAAAGTTGGACATGTGAAGCTTTTGCTAAGCGCTCCAGAAAACGTGTCCATATGTCATTTTATCGACTTGGTTGTTTCATTCAACAACATTACATTGGAGTATTTATTCTTGCAGTATCTGTATTATGTATGTTTTTATTTGGACTCAAGGATATGACTCAAGAGCATGACATACAGAAAATGTGGATTGAAAGTAAGTAAACATATATAAAGTAACTTAAATAATAAACATTTATAAAAACTTTAATTTTTTTATTTTAAGTTAGATAGTTACTGTAAAATCTAAGTGAACAAATTTGACTGGATGTCAACAGTTGAATAAAATTCAAAAATAATTTCTGTTTATGGAAGAGGTCTTTTTTTTATTTCTTATTGTTATTTACTATTAATTGTTATATGTAATTGCTTTGCTAAATATTTTGCTTTTTTTTTAGTTTTCATTAAGACAATTTCTATAAGAACAAGACAAGTTTCTATAAGAAACTTTTCAAGTTTCTATAAAACATTAAATGGTAAAAAAACTAGGTTTAAAGTTGAAATAAAAAGTCCTCAATTTTCATTTCACCAATAAAATTTTATGGAAACAAAGACATTTTTTTTTTGAGTTTTGTGACCATTAGAATTTCTTGGAGCACCATTAACCATAAAGAAAAAAAAATACAGTGTGCAGATAAAAACAGGAAGAATACATAAAAATCTTGCAGTAATCTAAAACAATAGCTGAACCAATCCTAAAAAGTAAAAGTGACAACAAAAATAACTTAATTGTCAAAAACAAAAAATAACAACAAAATTTTAAAAAGTTCTAATTAAAGTTTTTTATTAATAAAATTATTATTTATTACTTTCTCTTTTTATATTTTTTATTGGTTAAAAGTCTTCAGTTGTTGTTTTTTTACTTATTTTTATTATTCTTATTTTTATTTTTTGCTTTTAAAAAAATCCACCATTTGCAAAAACTTTGTAATCTTAAAAGTTTAAAATCTACCATGATATGTTAGATAGATTATCAGTGTTTTACTAATATTTCTTTGATAAACTATTTGTTAAATTAAAGGGCTCAAACTAAAAGCAGTACATCGAACTATAAACCGCATTGCGTCAGCTGAGAATTAAAAGGCTGTATGCCCATTTTTTGTGTTTTTTATGTTTATTATAAATAAATATTCATCAATCAATGGACTATGTGTCCAATAAATCTAGTCTTAAGAATGATACAACTTTTAAAAATATTTAAAAAATTAGTTGGACATTCATGCAGAAAGTCTTATTTTTAAATCAAGTTTTTAAAATTGAATTTTAAAACTTGATTTTTTTGGAAACATAAAAAATGGACATACAGCCTCTTGTTTCTCAGCTAATGATTGGTCTATTTCAAAAAAAGGAGTTTAAAAAAACATAATGTGATGGAGCTTTATCCAATATTAGACATTAGAGTGTTACAAATATTATGCAAAAACTGTATGTATTATAATATATTATACAAAATTATAGAATATTGTATGTTATATTACCTTTTTTATGTAATAAAGTTTACTAATTTTAAATTTACTAATATTTAGCTGGCGGTCGTTTGCAGGAGGAACTTGCATACACAGAAGACTTTTGGGGAAAATATGGGTATGGGTCAGAGTTACAAGTAATCATTCAAGTAAAAAATGAAAAATTAACTAACTTGCTTCATCCAGATGCTCTTTTAGAACATTTGGAAATATTAAAGAAAGTGAAAAATATGAGGATAAATAAATACTACAGGCAAGTTTAATTTTTTTTACTGTATTAAAATTTACAGTTTGAGGAGGCTACCTATTTTTTATTTTCTTAATTGTTGGTTCCAACTCTCTCCGCTCTTTGTAACATGAGTCTTAATGAACAAGGCTGCTTTGCCTAGAAATAAGTTAAAAATGGTACTACCATGGGTGTGGTGGGAATTAAACATGGAATGCCTCACTTACAAAGCTAAGTAATTACCATTACACCATTACCACCATTACTACTATTAACATAAATGAAAGAAAAAAGCAATATGTTATTTATAAAAATACTTTTTTTAAACATGGTATGATATTGATTTAGAGTAAGTTTTAAAACATATATGTTTTTCGAAAATGTTCCTAACAATCAATTAATTTATTTTAGCTTTACCCTGTTGTACTTTGCAAAAAAAAGATATAAGAAGAATTTTTATGATAATATTTTTAATATAACTTTTATGAAAAGTTGTTTACTATAGTTTTATTGGCCAACCTAATATTTTTTCTAAGCTTTATTTTTTTTTTTTTTTTGTCACTCTTAAACGAATCATATTTATTTTAAAATATTTTAAGTGTGTCTTTATTTTAAAGTATTTTTGTGTGTTTTTAAAGAAGTAAACTTATTATGTTAAATTCATTTAATATTTAACTTACAAATTGTAAAATAACCAAAAGTTCTATGTTTGAATCCATTTTCTTATTTTCAAATCTCCTTCATGTTCTTCTGATTTTTAAGAAGTCAAAATAATTTTATCGAGTGCTCTAAGTATATCTTTAAATCATGGTTTAATAGCATAAAGAGATTTCTACCTTTGAGTTGGATTGAAATTTTTTGTTGTAGTATCACTTTCATGAGTAAAAGAAGACAATATGTCCCATCTATATATGCTTAAACCAAAAAAATATATATTTCTTGTACTCTTACAAAAAGTTGATATTTCTTGAAAATGTCTTGTAATGTCATTTATCACTAGATTCAAATTATGAGCATTAAAATGAATATAGTCTGCATTTGGTTAAAGTTCTTTTTTTTATTTTTTGAACACCATCGTGTATTCCTGACATAACGTTTGCTTTGTCATAACCTTGCTCAGTCAGTTAATCAATAGAAAGTTATCTTTTTTCCGTATATTGTATTAATATGTTTTGAATACCAGTAGCATCTCGGGTTACTTCTTAAAATCCTAAAAATAATTTTTTTATATTTACTTCAGATGGAATTCCATTGTCATAATATTCATTTTTTTACATATGTGTAGACTTCACTTAATATATCCTTTTTTGTTGAGTCAATTGTTGTGTCTGTCATGATAGAAAAAAATGAAACAGATTTTATTTTTAAGTTTGTGTCAAGATGATCAGCTTGTTCATTAGTATAATTTGGTGATTATTCATTTTTATTATTTAAAACATCTTATAAATATTTAATGCATGAGTATGCACTGTGCTTTCGCTATCTTCAAAGCTTGTCTCTATGCCTATGGCACAATTATTATCATCATAAATTATATTTATTTCTTTATTTAATGAATATGTAGACGGTTTATCATCAGTAGTTACTTCATAATTATTAATTAAAGGTTTGTTTTCTGTTTGAAAAAATGCATTAATTTTTGCATGTTTTTTAATTAAATCTTTTCATTGGCTCTTTTTCTTTTTGAAACTCCAATTTCGAATTTTCTTTTTGTCTACATTTTGCAATTTTGCTTATAATATATGCAAAATAAATATTAGAATGTTTTAACTTGTTCTCGGTGTTTTAATGCAACAAACACTGTGTTTAATAAGAAAAAGAAATTTGATTTGTGTTTGTGAGATAAATAATAGGTAAATACTATAAATATTTTATCACATATTCAATTTGATGGGTACCTTTCTACTGGAAGAATATTAGAAAAGCATCTAATGTTAAGTTTTTAATTGGTTGAGAGAAACTTATATTTGTATAGTTACAGGTTTGTTACAGCATTGAATACCCTGAAGTGAAACTCTATGATGGTGCAAATAACTCATGTCAGAATACGCAAACTGTTGTAAAATTATTTCCCACCTAAAAAGAGGGATTTAAAAACTCTTATAGTGGGTCAAAACCAAGGGCCCTTGGACATTGTGGCCCCAAGGCAGTGCTTTCCCCTTCTTTCCCATAGTTATGCCTCTGATTAAATATCAATTAGTTTTTCATTATTTTTATAGTGATTGGTCATTGTAAGACTTTTGTTTTAAATATGATGTTCCTTTTTCATTATTTTTATAGTGATTGGTCATTGGAAGACTTTTGTTTTAAATATGATGTTCCTTTTATAGTATCAAGAGATATTTATATGGTATGATTTATATATTTATTGTTGTTCTTAATATTAATTTAGAACACAACTGATTATATATATATATAAAATAACTCTAAAAAATTATAACTTAATAAGTTTCAGATGACTTTAAAGTTTACATTTAACTTGAAACAAATAATCTAAATCAAATACATAAAATTTTTTTTTTTTTAGCAAATAAAAAAGTTGATTCCATGCGTCATAATGACTCCATTAGATTGTTTTTGGGAAGGTTCGTTAATTGCTTCTACTGACACAAAATATAATGAATTTAGTTGGACCAAGGATTCTCCAATTGAATATTTAAATTATATTAAGGATTTCACATTTCTGCAAGATGATTTTAATCAGTCTGTAAAATTTATGAAAAAGGTAAAAAAATTGTTTGACACACAAATTATATGAACATAATTATTGGATAAATATTCATGTTCTTATAGTAATTTTTTATTATTTTATTTTTTAGGCTGGAATTCACAATGGTTACTTAGGTAAACCATGTTTAAATCAAAACAACCAAAAGTGTCTTAAACACCAAAAAAGAGTATGTTCATTATATATGATTGATTATATAAGAGTATGTTCATTATATATGATTGATTATATAATCAATCAATCAATTCAATCAATCAATTATATATTCTGGAAAAAAGATCTAACTTCCACGGTCGTTACAAATAGTTATAAAAACTAATATAAAGTAAAAACCTCTTTGATGATATAAAACATATTATAGACACATTGTTATAGTTATAATAAAAATAGCAATAAATTTACAAAACAACAATAATAAAAATAATTAATTGTATAATAATAAGAATAACAATAATAATATTACCAGTAAGTATAATTAACACCCAATAATAATGAATAAAATAAAAACATGATAATAATAAATACAATACATATATAACGGAATTGTCAAATAAATATTTAATAGAAGGCTGTTCATTAAATACGTCAACAAAAATTATAAAAACCAGTAACTAAAAGAATTAAATCAATACAATCTTGCATACAACAATCAATTATATATACATAGTTACAGTTACAAACAGTAATAAACTGACAAAATGTAACTAATAACGATGACATAAAAACGATTATCGATAAAAGAATACCAAGACTCGATAAATATAACAGTTTTAGTTTTTATAATATAATAGCAAAAATATATTGTAAGTATAATAAACAAATAAAGAAAATATAAACAGAAAAACACTTATTGTACATAAAACTAAGGTTAATAAAAGTAAAAAATGGATTAAATGCATACACAAAAATAAATGACATATAAATATAACAATAAAAATACACATCAATATAAACAATGTATTCACTAAACAAAACTTATAATTTTTTTTCTTGTTCTTTTCTTTTAATGACATTATTGTTTCTGGTAGACTAACGTAATTCATTTCGTATTTTTTTTTTTTTTTCTTTACATTTTCGAACTATTTTTTCTTTTACCGAATCTTTTTTTTTTTATTTGGTACGTTATTTTGACTTGCTTTTTATCTTTATTTGTTTGTATCTTTTGATCATGTTTTCACTTCATTTTGTTTTATAACTTGATATTTTTAAAAACGATATTTTGATTTTTTTTTTCTCCATTTGATTTCTTTCCTTTTTTACCGTTAAATAAAAACATCCTCCATTTGCGATGTCATTGCAAAGGATTCATAAAGGATATATAAGAGTATGTTCATTATATATGATTGATTATATAAGAGTATGTTCATTATGTATGATTGATTATATTAAAGTATGTTCATTATATATGATTGATTATATAAGAGTATGTTCATTATATATGATTGATTATATAAAAGTATGTTCATTATATATGATTGATTATATAAGAGTATGTTCATTATATATGATTGATTATATAAGAGTATGTTCATTATATACGATTTGTAATGTTATAATCTACTTAAAGGAACATATGCTCCAGACCTCATCACTGTGCTAACAGCAAATCTGACTTGCTTTTTTCAAATTTTAAAAATAAATTTTTTTTGCCACTTTATAACAGTATAATAGTAAAAAGCTAATAAATTGAATCTACAAGGTTGAAAGCCATAACTCTAACAATAACTTGAACAATTTTTTTTATTCTTAAATGCATATAATATTTTTTTTTTCTTTTTTAAAGTAAAAAAATTTTATAATTAATTTCAAAAGTAGTTTAAATAAAATGATCAGGTTTCTATTATTTAATGAATAGCAAACTATAATATGAATGAAAAGAAATCTTCCACAGTATCACTAACAAAACAAAATATGGATGGAAGCTTGAAAAGATACATGGATAAACAGATAGTGGGAATTTATGTTTTTCAAATTCAAGTTTATTGACCAATGATATTTGTTTTTTTAAATTTATTGGCCAATGCTATTAGGTACAACCATAAATACAACAATTTTATTTATGTCTCAATATACCAAAATAGTGGCTATAATCAAATATAATCGACTGACATACATTTTGCATGTTGCCAAAACCTGCAGTTTAGATTTCCATGGATCTGCTATATTGTGCTGATTTAACCTTTTTTTTTTATGTGTAATAGAAAATTTAAGTAAAACATTTGTAATGTTGTTATAGTGCAGATGTAATGTTGTTATAGCAACCTTTTTATAATATTACTTATTATTCATTCTAATCACCTGATCAATGCTTTTACAGCCTGATCATGATTTAAAATATTTTTAGCTTAGTATGTACAAAATTAAAGTGAGTCATTCACAGACTAAATATTAATTTGCAATTAACATTGTTTTAAATGAAGTTGTTACTTTTTTTAGATTCTAGACATTAATGTTGATTCACCTCGTTCAACCTCATTAAAAATTAAATTAACTATTGTAAATTTTAACTTTTTAAAGAAAAAATATTATAAGCCAAGTTATGAGCAAATTAATAATTTTGTGAAAAATTTAGTGGCCACAGTGTAAAATATAAAAACAGTAAATTAACATTAATTAAAAGTACGAAAGATAAAGTAACTAAAACTATTTTTCTTTAAAGAGAAAAAGAACTGTTTTATTTACTGCTTTAGTTTGTTTCCAGAAAGAAGAGAACCTTGGCTTGCATCTATCTAAAGGTTGTTATGGAATCGCAGAAAATTATATGCACTGGCCTAAGGAAATGATTGTCAGTGGTCTAACAACCGATTCAGTTGGGCATAGGTACAGTTTATGTAGTTAGGTTATGTATTGATATTTGTATTGTATAACAAAAGTGTACTTAAACTAGATGTGTGTACATACATACATTATGATGCTATTTTACATAGAGCAGATGCATTACAAAGTGTTATTCAAATATTTGATGCACCAACATTTTACAAGTCTGCTTTGGACAATCAGCATTATAATGATGAGTTGAAGATGAAATTGAGATCAATTGAAGGGGGTTTCACATTGGAAGCTGCTGAGCATATTTTAAGAGACTGGAAAATTGAGTACACTAAACTTATAAACTCAGAGCTTGTAAAAAGCTCTATGAAGTATTCGTTTCTAGCTTTTTCAACATCATCTTTTACTGAACTTGTTGACGAAATGACTTCATTGAATAAAAAGAACTTGATTATAGCTGGTTCCATTGTGGTTAGTGCAAATTTGTGATTCAATAGATAGAAAAAATTTTATATAAAGTTTTTTAAGTTTTTTTTTTTTTTTTTTTTTTTAGGCAGCTTATGCATTTGTGAGTCTTAAAAGATGGACAAAAGGAGTTTATTCATATGGATCAGTGGGCTTGGTTGGAGTCATTTTGGGTTGCTTATCAGTTGCATCTGGTCTAGGTTTGTCTTCAATTGCAAAAATGAAACTGACAGCTGTATCAGCACAGGTATCTTAAGATTTAAATAGTTTATAAACATGTTTAAAATATATATATATATATATATATATATATATATATATATATATATATATATATATATGTATATATATATATATATATATATATATATATATATATATATATATATATATATATATATATATATATATATATAACACTAGGTCAGCATAAAGTTGACAAACTATACTTCTTTAACCTTCGTCAAGTCGACACTTTTCATAAGTTGACAGATTTCCTGTCGACTTTACGTTTGAATGAATTTTAGTAACGATTAGTTCAATGAAAATTAAAAAAAAAAGATACCATTGTAGTCTCTAAATAATACTCAAGAGATTTCTATGAAAAACATTAACAAAAAAAAACGCGGAAAACTATAAACAATAACTTTTTTTAAAAGCGCATATGTTTACTTGTGTTACATATACAATCTATAGGTCAATAGTTAAGAAATTGCATTTTTTGTTTGAAATATAAAGATATATTTATTATAATTTTTTTTTAAAATATAGATAAACTATTTAGTTAAAATAATATACGACCAGTTTTAAAAAAAAATTAACATTCAGATATTATATAATATGTTACTTTTCAACTATAAGTAGACTTATTCTACTCGTAAATCTTGCGTCAAGTCAACAATAATAAATATATAGACTTATATTTTTATATTTCTATTTTTTTTAGTTTTTTTTTATATAAATATATGTAAAAATGATAAATAAATTTTATTTTATACTATTTCTACGACTATCGCTAAGTCAACAAATTTTCTATTTCTTTTTTAAAAAGCGCTTAATTGATCACTTATATTTTTTTTCTATACAAATACTTAATCTACGCAACATCTGTTAGTGAAAAATGAATTAAAAAAGAATATTTTTTATGTCGACTTACGGTATAAAAATAATCCCTGTCGACTTTGAGTAGACCCAGGCTTATATATATATATATATTTATATATATATATATATATATATATATATATATATATATATATATATAATATATATATATATATATATATATATATATATATATATATATATATATATATATATATATGTATAACTTTTAATTTGTATTATTCTATAAAATAACAAAATATTTAATGCATCTTTTAAAGGTATTGCCTTTTCTTACTATTGGTTTTGGAATGGATAATATGTTTTTGTTAGTAAGAACTTACATATTTGTTTGTGATGCTGGAATTGAAGATAAGCGCATTATAGGAATGTGTCTTGGTGAATGTGGACTTAGTATTACTATAAATTCTGTTGCAATTATTTGTGGGTTGTTATCAACTTCTGTCATTCAAATTACAACACTGCAGACCTTTATCTACCAGGTGATATATAGGTTCATTTATTTATTTTGAATAAGGTTGAGACATAGTCTAAAGTTGCTATGCTTTTTTAAGCTTTTATGTTTAATAAAGATTTTTTAATGCAAAAAACAAACAAAAAAAAGTTTAAATTATCATTTTAGATTCAAGTTAGCTTCAATTTTTGGTATTTTTAGCTAAACTGTTTACTTAAAATGACTAAGCAGCTAGTTTAAGTACTTATTTTAGCGATTCAAGCAAATGTAGATGTTTAAGCACGTTGTTTTTTTTTAAACTTTACGTTTTACGGTATTTACGTTTTTTGTTTTTTGTTTACACTTAATACTTTAACACTTTTTCACTTAAATTAAAAGTCCTTTGTAGTTTTGAGGGTACTGAAAAAGCCTGAAACATACCAAGGCTATTTATTTATCATTTTTAAATTATACTGTTTTTTGCAATTTTCGTTATACCCCTGCAGAACTCACTTGACAAACAAAGCAGAGAAACAAGTTGAGCGCATTACTTCCAGGAACAAGGTGGATATGAACTTTGTACCTCTTGCTTTCAAAGGAAGCACTTTTTCATCACACCACTTTTTAAAAAAAATTTTTGTCACATTTTTAAAGTGCTTCACTTAAGTTTTAATCACATTAGAACTTTAAAACAGTAAAAATAACTTTTTAAATTTCTTTAGTGCATTAAGTGTTCAAAATTCTACTATAGTCAATACCACTTATGTTCTAGTGATACCATTCCTAATACTTAAAATGCCATACCAAACAACATTTTAACTATATTATATATATTTTTTAGTATATATTTTTAAGTATATATAGTTCAATTATCTTTAATTGAAAATATTTGAACATTTTTTAATTCAAAATTGTTAGGCTGTCTTTATTATGGTTGTGTTTTGGTTTGCTGTTATTATGATATTCTCCTCTATTTTGGCTCTTGATGTTGAGCGGCTTAAAATGAAAAGATATGATTTATTCTGTTGCTTAGAAGTGTAGGTTTTATGATTTTTTTATGAATTTTTTTATAGAATATAAAATTTTTACTTTATTTAAAAGTTTATTCCGAGAGAATAAACTTTTTATTCTAGCTATTTAGGGAGAAGCCTTTAGAAGGAAAACCCTCCGTAGCTTTTTTTCTGTACATACATACTATTCTGTCCTAAAGATGTATGAACGCAAAAGATTTGCATACATAAACCATGACCTACTTAAATTACACGGCCTGATTTGTTGCATTTTCCGTAAAAAATTAAGAGGCCAGTTTTTTTACGGTTCAAGTATAAAAACTTAATTTTTGCTATGGTTAAGAGTCTTGTTTGCACTATAATTGTTTTATTTTTATTTTATTAAAATGGTTTAATAATAGTTAGATTTTCTTTGAGTACTTACATTATTTTGTGCTAGATTTTTTGTTAACTGGTTGCCTGCTTCAGTTTATTCCAATAACAAAGACTACTGAAATAGGCTTTCAGATATATATATTTCAGCCATATCAACACATACCAACATGCTACTGAAAATAATCTTACATATTGCTAAAAATATCCACAACTCTCCATTGAAAATAATTTTAAAGGTTTTTAATTTTGTATTTATTATAATTGCAATTATTAAGTAGAAAACATAAACTTTTCTTTAAAATATTTACACTGCAAAACAAGGTTTTGCAATGTAAATACTTTATTATGCTGCATGTCTCAAACACACAGCAATTAAAGTGCAACAAATCAGGCCTTTTATTTACAGTAGGAAAAAAATATCAGGCATACCAACTGTTTTGGAGTCAATAGCTGTTAATAAAATTCTAATTTTTTTCATTGCCTAATAAATGCTTATCATATTTCTTTATTTAAATGATTTCGCAGTGGTGGAAATTAAGAATTGAAAAACTATAATATATTAGAAAAATCATTGACAAAAATTTGGTATTAAGAGATTATTTGCTTCTTGTGGGTAAGATGTACTTCCAAAAAGCACCCCAAAGTGGTAAACAATTTGATGAAGATTGAGAAAATAATCTTTTTAAAGAATTTGTTTTTGTTTTTATGATTGTAGGGCTTCAAAAACTTATTCTTATGTTTTGAAATCCTCACCTAGAGTTTACATAACAGGTTTATGTTTGAAAAAAGAAATTGATGAGTGTATTACCTCAATGCACCAATCTGAATTTAAGATAAGAGCTGTTGTCACCAATAACCATTCTACAAATGTTAATGCATTTTTATAGTTTCACAAAGCATATACTGGAGATGGAAAATTATTAATTTATCATTTAGTTTAGAAAAGGAGTGTTTAAAACATACTTGTTATTTGATAAACTCCATTTTTTTTCTTTTCTTGTTTAATTACTGCTGATTACATTGCAGGGAATATATTTCTTAAAGTTTATTAAAAGATCAATTATTAAACAGGTAAGAAAAAGCAAGAAAAATTTATTATCAAGTCACATATTTCGGAAACAACAAACAATGTGTTAACATTGACAACATTTGATGAAACAACTGCAGCTGTAATTTAGGGTTATTTTTTTAAAATAAATAACGTAGCACAATTTTTATTATTGTTTTATAAGTTATTTATCATACTTAATTCAAAGCAGAATCTTAATTCATCCAATCAAACTCATTAATACTGCTTTGAAAGGTGATAACAAACCCACACTTTATAGAGAAGTTTCAAATTGTACTGAAATTTGACCAAAATAAAATTTGATAAATATTTTACATTGACCAAACAAACTTCTTGTGCTTTAATTACAACACTGCAAGCAATTGTATTTCTTATGCATGATTTCCTTGAAGAAGGCTTTATATTTGTTTATAGTTTCATTTTACAAAGTGGTTTTAGTAACTATAGTTACATGACTTTTTAAGTAGACTTTTTGTGAGTTTTTTAGAAATATGTGTTAGTAAAAAGATTTTGGCAGATTTTCCCAGAAAATATTTACCAGAATTTTGATAATCATTAAAAAATATTATGCAAGATATTGCTTAGTTGTCTACATAAATACTACTGTCAGCTTTCTGAAGATAGCACAGACATATATAGTAAAGCAAGTAATAATGGTAAAAATTAACAAAGAGATTTTGATGTTAAACTTATGATCAATAAACGTTAGTTTATAAAGAGAAGAACCTATATATTCAATTCAACCTCTGTCTAATTTTATTTGTCATCTTTTTAGTATTTTATGTTATTTCTCTTATTCTAATAAAACATTGCAATTTTTTTAATTAAAAATTTGAATTAAAAATTTTGAATTAAAAATTTTGAATTAAAAATTTTTAATTCAAAATTTTCAATTAAAAATTTTCAATTAAAAATTTTCAATTAAAAATTTGCGAAACTTTTAAAGATTTAGCAATTTTACAAATAAAACTTTTAATGGAATCAAAACATTCAATTTTACAAATAAAACTTTTAATGGAATCAAAACATTCAATTTTACAAATAAAACTTTTAATGGAATCAAAACATTCAATTTTACAAATAAAACTTTTAATGGAATCAAAACATTCAATTTTACAAATAAAACTTTTAATGGAATCAAAACATTCAATTTTACAAATAAAACTTTTAATGGAATCAAAACATTCAATTTTACAAATAAAACTTTTAATGGAATCAAAACATTCAATTTTACAAATAAAACTTTTAATGGAATCAAAACATTCAATTTTACAAATAAAACTTTTAATGGAATCAAAACATTCAATTTTACAAATAAAACTTTTAATGGAATCAAAACATTCAATTTTACAAATAAAACTTTTAATGGAATCAAAACATTCAATTTTACAAATAAAACTTTTAATGGAATCAAAACATTCAATTTTACAAATAAAACTTTTAATGGAATCAAAACATTCAATTTTACAAATAAAACTTTTAATGGAATTAAAAGTTTTATTTGTAAAAAATTTTGAATTAAAAATTTTCAATTAAAAATTTTCAATTAAAAATTTGCGAAACTTTTAAAGATTTAGCAATTTTACAAATAAAACTTTTAATGGAATCAAAACATTCAATTTTACAAATAAAACTTTTAATGGAATCAAAACATTCAATTTTACAAATAAAACTTTTAATGGAATCAAAACATTCAATTTTACAAATAAAACTTTTAATGGAATCAAAACATTCAATTTTACAAATAAAACTTTTAATGGAATCAAAACATTCAATTTTACAAATAAAACTTTTAATGGAATCAAAACATTCAATTTTACAAATAAAACTTTTAATGGAATCAAAACATTCAATTTTACAAATAAAACTTTTAATGGAATCAAAACATTCAATTTTACAAATAAAAATCACCAAAAATGGGGAATCAAATATAGATCTTGTATTGTTTATAATATTTTTTATAATAATTTGCAAAAAAAAAAATACATATTCATTGAGAAAAGATCAAGTAATTCCAAAAAAGACAAAGGCAAAATAAACATTTCTAGCAAAAATTTTATCTTTTAATTTCAACTATAAAAATACAAAACTACAAACCTTTTTTTTGTTCAATGTAGAGTTTTAGACAATCTTAACAACATAAAATGTTATTTTTAGTAGCATGTTGGTATGCGTTGATATAGTTATCTGAAAGCCTATTTCAGTATACTGTGTGGTTGGAATAAACTGAAGCAGGCAATCAGTTAACAGAAAATCCAGCACAAAATAATGTAAGTACTCAAAGAAAATCTAACATATTAAATCATTTTAATAAAATAAAAATAAAACAATGATAGTGCAAGACTCTTAACCATAATAAAAATTAAGTTTTTATACTTGACCCAAAAAAAAGGCCTCTTTTTATGGAAAATGTAACAAATCAAGCCGTGTAATTTAAATAGGCCATGCATAAACATAAATTTAAAAAATTTTGTTTAAATTATTTTCACACAAAAGTTGTAAAGTTATTTTATAGTTCAAGTTTTCTGAATAGACGAAAAAAAAAATTTTTTTTTTGTTTAAAATATAGAATCCAAGAAAATTAGTCTAAATATTGTTTCCATAGGATTTTCTGGTCTTTTAGCAAACAAACTCACATTTTAATTGAAGACTTTAAAATCATCATCTTTAAAAGTTTTTAGAATTTACATTATAACATTATCTAGAGTTTTTTTCTTGTTTGCAATTAATTCATGGGTATTTTTATTTATCTCCTGAATTTTCTTATTTGAAGTTTTTTCTTATTTGCAATTAATTCATGGGTAATTTTATTTATCTCCTGAAGGCTATGGGGGCGATCCCAAGTCAAAGGAGCTACTCTTTTAGTGCATCAAACTGTGCTCAAAGCACCATAAATAAATCGCCAGTCCAGTAATTTTTTTTTGAAGACTTTAAAATCATCATCTTTAAAAGTTTTTAGAATTTACATTATAACATTATCTAGAGTTTTTTTCTTGTTTGCAATTAATTCATGGGTATTTTTATTTATCTCCTGAATTTTCTTATTTGAAGTTTTTTCTTATTTGCAATTAATTCATGGGTAATTTTATTTATCTCCTGAAGGCTATGGGGGCGATCCAAAGTCAAAGGAGCTACTCTTTTAGTGCATCAAACTGTGCTCAAAGCACCATAAATAAATCGCCAGTCCAGTAATTTTTTTCTCTTTGTTACTTATAAAGTAATTTATTTTATATTAATGAAATATTTTTTATGAAGTAATTACAAATTAAAGTAATCTAGTTTTTTTATTAAATTTTATTTAATTAAATATAAGATAACATTTCTGAATCTAATTTAGAATTAATGACAGTGACGAAGAACCTCCTAAATGTTTGGAAAATCAATATAAAAACAAAGTTGTAAACTTTAAAAATCAGCCATTTGTTGTTGGAAATTCTTTCATGTCTGAAAAGCCGAACAAAACTAATATAACACGTTCTCATAGGCACTTTAATGTCAGCCAAAAAATGTTTCAGAGTGGTAAAAAACTCCAAAAACTAGAACCTTCAAGTATTGAAGTTTTGTTAAAAAAATTTTCAATAACATACTTTGCACAAAATTATTTTGGTGAATGGGTTACAGAAATCCAAGTAAAGGTAAAATTTATGTTTTTTTAATGTTATTGATTAGTGCAATTGTTGGTTGTTTTTGATTGGTGCAAATTGTTTTTTGCTGTAGTTTAACAAAGTTTGGACATTATTTACTACATTCTAATCTGTCTATTTTAATAGGCAGGTAAGGTTGTTTGATAATTTAGGATTTTTTCAGACTAAAAAAACATTTTTTTTTAGGTAAAAAGAAATTTAAAAAGCATTTAAATTATTATTTAAGCGTTTTATTTTTGTTTGTAAATTTTACACTAAACTCAAATAGCAGTTTGGTGTGACTTTTTGAACATTGGTATTCACAATATTTTTACGAGAAATAATTTGTGTAAACCACAAGAACTTTTTAATAGTATATATAAAGGATGTTGTTAATAAATAATTATTTTGAATAACTGAGTAAGAAAAAAAAAATTCCGAAAATAGTTTAACTAAACAATATGTTTTTGTATTTAAGTTAATATTCAAATAAATAACAAGTTGAGCAAATAATTATTTTTTATAACCAATAAATTATTTGCTAAAAACTAATTAGTTAATTACCAATTACAAATTAATTCATCTATCTCTACCTATCTTCTTTTCCCTACCTCTATATCTTATTTTAAGTTCAAAGCTTATTTATATTATTATATATTTTGTATATATATATATATATATATATATATATATATATATATATATATATATATATATATATATATATATATACACACATATGCATACATAATTTTTTTTTAGATTGTTGTTATGTTTGTTTGTTGTATCCAATTATTTATTGCTGGATATGGTACAGCTAAAGTTCAACAAGGACTTGATTTAGGTGAAATGGTTCCAAGAGAGTCTCCACAACATCGTTTTCTTTCTGCAAGGCAGAAGTATTTTTCTTTTTACCAAGTTCATGTTGTCACTAAGGGAAAATTAAATGGAAAAATATTCGACTATTCCAATAATCAAGGGCTGTTAACAGAATTTTATGCAAGGATTAAAAAGGTATAGGTTTTAAATTAATTAATTCCTATAGGTTTTAAATTAATTCATTCCTATTTCATTTATAAAACAATAATTGATATATTTAGTTGGACTATGATATGCATATTACATTTAGCTGTCCTTTGTAATGGGTAATAATAATGATGAAGAACCAACATTTTGGTTGCCAATATACAGAAACTGGTTGCAAGGTGTGCTCTTTACTTTGTTTATAAGAAAAGTTTTTATAAAAATACAATAAAACTTAATGATACAATAAAGCCAGTCCAAGTAATTTTTTTGTTGTATTTTAAAAAGAAGACAGATACAATCTAGACAACATGTGTTGGATCTGTTAGTTGTTAGTTTTTAATTTCTTACTAACAACTAACAAATTCTTATAGGATCTGCTAGTTAGCTATTAGTTAACTAGTAGGTCTAACTAACTATATTGAATATATTATATATAAATAATACTTGCATTTATGGTCTTACTTTTTACCTTTGATTGTCTTGTTTTGATTTGGGATGATGATTTCGTATTCAAAGCTACATTTTCAAAATATCAGCTATTACCGAGAGGGTAATATACTTGTGGTTTTTTAACATAATTTGAAACCTAGTAGTCTTCTTAGAGTATCTTTATTTTTATATCACAGAATTAAATGATATTAGTGAAGTTTGTTTAATAAGCTTTTACTAACAACTGTTTTTCTCACTAATTTCTTAAGAAATTTTCTCAATAATTTTTTAACATCTAATCTTGAATTCATTAACTCTCTGACAATCTGAAAATCAATATAAAATTATCTTTTTATTCTATCGCTGACTTGCTAATTGTTGTAACTAAAAGGTTGTTCTATCATGTATTAAATGGAGGTGGTTAAGTTAAAGGCTGTTGTTCTCGACTTAAGCTTTCGATAAAGCTTGGCTAGCTGGTCTTTTCCATAAGCCTGCTTCATATGGTATATCTGGAAAGGTTTTTGAGATTAAAGACTCAAACACTTTTCTTCATTTTCAACAACTTCTGGGGTATTGCAATTTTTATCATCAAACATTAGAATCAAACATTTTTTGATTCTGAAGTAGTAGAATGTAAAAAATTGCACTTGCTTTATAATTATTCCAATTGTTTGTGATTTTGCTATCTCTTAGTACTACTATAAGGGATACCTTTTTGTATCTATGTGCAAAGACTTTTGTAGTCTTTTAATATATATTTTTTTCTATTTTAAAACATGACTTGAACATTTTTACAAAATATATCAGAGTTGTTTTGTTTTTTGTTTTCATTGTTTTTTTCATTTTGAGTATAAATTTAAACTAATAGAAATATAAAATGAATATATTTTTAGGTTTGGAAAATATGTTTTTGGATGAATGGGCTTTAGGGTGGATTAATCATAGCTGCATGCCACAATGTGAAAAGGCTTCAGAAGAAGCAAAAATTGCTTATACACTACTTTCAACAACATTTAAAGATAACTTTCCATTTGTTCAGGTTTTAATTTAGTTTTAATTTTCGTTATTCTTTTCAAGAGGGGAAATTTTTTTAAGGCAACCAATTTTTTTATACTTTCTTGAATTATTACTTTAACTTATTATATTTATTGTAGAGTTTGTACAGATAGATAGAATAGCATTGGTAAGTAATTAGTAATAAATACTTATTTATAGAATTTTACTCCTGGTATATTAGTAAAAGATGATGTCATTGATGCTTCATATTTTTATTGTGGTTTGTCTTTCTGGTATTGGAATGATATGCTTGGTGTTCACAAATCTCAAGTATTCAAATTTTTTTTTGTATGCTTTGATATTTTCATTAATGCATCTAAAAATATTTTGAGGGCACAAATTACAAAATTATATGTATAAATATATATATATATATATATATATATATATATATATATATATATATATATATATATATATATATATATATATATATATATATGTATATATATATATATATATATATATATATATATATATATATATATATATATATATATATGTATATATATATATATGTATGTATGTATATATATATATATATATATATATATATATATATATATATATATATATATATATATATATATATATATATATATATATATATATATATATATATATATATATATATATATAAATTCCGTTTATTTATTTTCTAAATAATAAAAATCATATTACATTTATGTTACAGATTGGATTAAAACCAGAGCCATTGAAGCCATCTTTTACTGATTCAATGGCTTCAGGTAAAAGTAATGTTTTGTCTATTTTACATATAAATATTTTCTTTGAACTTTAATTTATTTTGTTACTCATTTTGTTTCATAATTATTGATTTTACAAAGTTAAAACTTTGAAAAGTTTTAAATAAAATTTTACATAGATATTTGCAAGTTTAATCCAGAGTTTATGGCAATACCTGTTCAAGTTGGAAATCTTGTGAAGACAGAAGATTATGTAACGTTAATAAAAGTACACAACCTAAATATCAGTTAGCTAGTTAATTATTTTGATGATGATGACTTATATTTTGTATACATAATAATAGGAAAGGGCGGGTCGAAAACTCTTTATTTTTTGTTTAACCAGTTATTCTTAATTAATTTTAAAAAAGTTGGAAAAACAATTCAGTTTTTTCTGTTTTTTTGTGGTTGGCCTTCTACTTCTATTTAAACATTTTTAAAGACATATATATATATATATATATATATATATATATATATATATATATATATATATATATATATATATATATATATATATATATATATATATATATATATCTTGAAAAAAAATCTTAAAAATATAAAGTTATGCAACTTTATGTTAAAATTTATTCAATATAAATTTTGATTGGTTAAATTTGAATTAAAATGAATAATAGTTGCGTTTTAAAAAAAAATTTAATGTTAACTAAATTTAGATATCAATTAAAGTGAAAAAAATTGTAGGAAGATATAATAAACTAGTTTTAAATCAAAATAAACAAACAAATAATACAACTAATAATAAACAAACAACAATAATACAAAGTTGCCTTTACTCAGAGATGTTCTTGCACTTGTTTTTAACAAAGTCAACAATAAAATATCTTTTGAAAGTGCTTGTCAAAGAGTTGCAAAGTTAGTAGAAATTCATTGGAGAGAGCATAATATTTATACAATATCATATCAGGCCTTTTTAAATAGTCTGCAAAGTGAAATCAATGAATATCGCTACTTAAAATTTGTTGACAAAAACAAGCAAAATGATTTTTGAGTAGATGTATTTCTATGAACGAATCCCTTAACAAACTTTTTGACATTTTCTGCTTCAATTCAGAACGTTGTGAAAAGCTAGAAAAGTTTTTTGGTATTTCAATGAATGCTGAAAACATGTGCGTTAACAGAAATTTTACATGTCTAAATGTTGATAAAACATTCCATCAAAAAGTTATTATTGACAAAAGAAAAATGGAGAAAAAGATAAAAAATGAAACAGCAATTTTTCAGACAATGTACGTTAATAACGATGATAGCAAATTTGAAGTTAAGTGAATTTGAAGATGAAGATGAATTTCTTGAAAAAGAATTAACAAAAAATAATTATCAGTTTTTTGAAAAGGACACTGAACTAATTGAAAAAAAAAGAGGTATTATTTGTTGATGTAAGTGAACCAAAACAGCCATACCTGAGAAGATCAAATTCAAAATTAATATTTGAAGATAGTATTCACAATACTTATGTTCCGCCTAATGTGTGACAATCAAAAACTTAGTCTTAAGTGATATCTACCATACATGTGCAGAGTTAGATGGAGAAGGATTCTCGATGAGGGAAATGCAAATTACACTGAAAGTAATCGGCAATCAAATTTTCAAAACAAAATGGAAAATTCCAGATGAAACTGACCGTATATCTAATTATAATAAAAATAATTGTGAAGCTATTGAGAACACATTTATTGATTCTAACACATTCTCAACACGCAATGCCATATGTAAAAAACTGAAACAGATGCACTCGTATTCCCTTGGCTTATTGCAGACAGAGTTGTTCAAGCTAAAAATAGTGGCAATATAATAACTTGCGCAACTGACTCTTTCACTCGTAAGCATGTTGGGACCTTTGAACCTTCTAGTTTACATATTAACCGAGAATATTATTTTCCTTTGCCTACATTAGCAACTGCTTCAGAAACTACAGCAAATATTGCAGATCGAATAAAAACAAGATTCGAAATGTTACAGTAAGCCTCAAAAACACCTTAGAAGATATATAATTCTTAGAAGATATAGAATAATTCTTTAAATTTAAAGAGCCATGTGTTCAAGGAGTATCAAAGAGACTTTTTGAAAATCTCATTAAAAAAGATTATCACTTAGAAGTTGTTGATGTAGTACAAAAATATGCATCAAAGAACTTTGATGATTGCATTATTTTTGCAAATATAGTTCAGCAAAGTTTAGCTATAGTTCTTCAACACCAAAGAGAAAAGCATTATGGGTTCGAAGAAAAAAACAATGATCAATTACCTGATGAGTATTAGATTTTTAATCAAGTCGTTGGAGTTGATAAAACAGTTACAAATAATATTGAACTTGAGTGTCAGTGTGGAACTCATAGCAATCAACTTTGAAAAAACCAGTCACTTTCATCAGTTTCACGTAGTAATGTTCTTAAATATTCTAAGCATTTAAGAAATGAAGATTAAAATAATTACAAAAAATGGACTATTACGAAACTATTACGAAAGCTATTACAAAAAATGGGTCCTATTGTTAGAAAAATTGAAAAGATACATTTGGAACCAACGACAGATTCAACTGAGACAAAGCAGCTTAACTAAAAAATAAGAACAAGCTTTACATCAGGCGTGCAGGAGAAATTCTATTTTAACTTGTTTAAAACTACAAGGCGGCCCATTTACTTGTGGATCAGATGTCAGTGAATATATTGAAAAAGAGCAAGGTCTGATAAAATACCAAAAGCGATTGAAGAACGAAATAATTTATTTTAGAGATACAACTAGGTCATTGCCGCGGAAATCAACTCTATTTAAAATCATGATTTTTGATAAAAATACAAAAAAAGTGCCATCTTATGTCTATAAAAGAATATGCTACTAATTTGAAGATTCTTCTTGAAAAGTCATCACAGTAATCCACAATCACCTACGAAGACTTCCACAAAGTTATTTCGCACTTTCAATAGAAGTCAAAACAAATTATTATTAATATTAAACCATCTTGGTGATGTACTATGTCTATTTTTTTGTGTTATTTATAACTAGGCATAGTGATTACATATTTTATTAATAAAATAAAAAAAAACTTACCATGTGTTTTACATTGCTTATATTTAAAATTAATAATGATTTTATTTAATTTAACAGTAAATTGTTTTGTCAAAATAATCATTTTTATTAAAATTGAAGTAGAAGGCTAAATACTGATAAGGAAGTAAAAACATTGTGAAATTCGAAATCAGCATAAAAAATTAATTAAGAAACAGTAATTAAACTACAAAAAATCTGAAAAAGGTTATTTTTGGACCCCCTAATAATAATATATGTATAAACCATTGTTTTGTGTTATTTAATAGGAGTTTCGTGACCTATGTGATGAATTTAGGGTACTTGGATTACCTAGTTATCCGATGGGTGATCCATTTACATACTGGGAGCAATTTATTTACCTTAAGAAGTATCTTTGCATCGCTTTAATGATTACACTTTCTTCATTGTGGATTGTTCTTGTTCTTACATTTATGAATATCAGAGCAACTTTTATTGTGGTATAATTAATATAATTAACTTTTATTGTGGTATAATTAATATAATTCAACTTTTATTGTGATATAGTTATACAAATCTTTTGGTAATTTTTGTTTTATTTCTGATGTTACTTTATAAAACTAGCTTTTTATACTGTTTTTTTGACATTTCATTCATTGTTTTATAGACTTTCAAACGTGTACATTTTTCTTGTTGTGTAGTTAACTACTACATAGATTAATTTTTGTAATAGGTTCTATTAAAATTCTATTAAATTATAGATTTTTGTTGTTGGTTTGATGTTTTTTGAACTTTATGGTTTTATTGGTTTGCTGGGATTGCAGTTAAACGCTATGACGACCGTAATTCTTATAATGTCAATTGGAGTTGGAGTTTCAAATTCTGTTCATACGCTAACAGTTAGTATTTTTAACTCTGTATTATATTTAAAGTAATAATTATAACAAGAAAAAAATGTATAATTTATAAATTGTATTTATTAATTTTCTTTTTAATTTATTATTAGACAAAAATACTTTAATTTTTTTATTATGCTCATTTAGCAAGCTGTCAATAAATTTGGCATCAAATTTAATTTGATGTCTAAATTCAATTTATGTATAAATTTCAAAAAATTGTATATAAGATTTTAATATTTATTAATATTTTGTATTTTTTTAAATTTAATTTACCACCACCACCACCCCCCAACTCCAAAAAGGCCACTACAGTCGAGGAGGCTACTATAATTATTGTTACAACCCTTTTTCAATTTTATAACTCCGAAACACGAACCTTGATAAACATGGCCTTTCCAAAACCAAATTTCATGCTTTTTATTTATCAGAAAGTTTTTCATTTTGTTTATGATTTTTGTTGTTGTTGTTATTGTTATTGTTTGTCTCTATATTTTTTTATTTTTTCATCATTTTTTTATAATTTTTTTTTAATAAATAGGCATTTTTAAACACTCCTGGAGATCGACATGAACGTGTGCGAGGTGCCCTTGAAATAACTATGTCATCAATTTGCGACAATTATGTATCACTATTTCTAATGTTAGTTTTATTATCTACATCACCATTTGATTTTGTTATAAGGTAGTTAGCTATACAATTTTAATTTTTATTAAATATAAAAGGGTCATCCATTTAATTTACTCCTTTTATGCACTTTTATGTAATTATTTCTAATTATTTATTTTTTTTGCTATTAAACATTCTCATAAATAAAAATACAAAATAGAATATTATTTTTACTTTTATATGGAATTTGCAACAGTTTGATCTTACATTTTCATTTAAATTTAGAAATAATAATCATTTTTGAAAGTGGATATACTTATTTATAATTAATTTAAGTTATTTTAAGCACATTTAAGTCATGTATAAATACAGTTATTTCATTAAATTTTATTTACGTTGAAAAGTATTTTAGAGTTTCACGTTTGTCAAGTTTATTACAAATTTATACACATATAATTTTTTTTTGGGTTTATTTTACTTACAGGTATTTTTTCCGTCTACTTCTATGCTTACAATGTACTGTCATGTTCAACTCGCTTTTTGTTTTACCAACAATTCTGTCATTTTTTGGTCCTTGTCCAGAAGTATGTTTACTTTTTCTATATATAAATATATATATAACATTTGGTTCAAGATCTGTATAATGTTTGTTTCTATTTTTGTAAGGCGTTTTCAAATTTATTTTAGGTACAAAATCGATCGATACGCCCTACACTTAATCCAGCTTATCATATCCCTATATCAGTTGAAATAAATACTCATTATTCTTCGTCAACACCATCTTGGAAATCAATTCGCCAGTTTTATCGTCGAAAAACATTGACTCCTATTCCAGAAGTTTCAGAAAGATCTTCGTCGGCTGGAACTGAATTCTCTTTAGATGGAATTACCAGAACTCCTACACCGTTCAGTCCATCAAGACCTTGTAGCAGTATTGAAGAATCCTGTGACGAGCACTTTAACAACCCCGTTGAAACCACATTATCGAGTTTCGGCAGCAATCATACTGATGCATGGCATCATTTACCCAAGCTTAATAATAATGAGAACGAAGCTTTTAATGTTGTAGGCATAAACATTCCGACTAAATCTAATCAGTTCTCTCAGAGAAGCAACGAAGAAAATCGAGAATCTAATGTACACAACTCAAATAGACGTTTTTCTTTTTCGAAAAAAAAAGAAAAAGATTTAAATGATATTCAAAAAACGCATAACAAAAAAAATGTTAAGAGTCCATCATATGATGACGAAAATAGTTATCGTGTAATTAATGTACAATCGAACACATTTTCAACGAGTATAAAAGCGACTTTTTCCTTTGATATTCATACTAGGTGCATCGATGATGGTATGGCTCGTATTGAATAAAAATATTTAAAAATTCTTGTAAATATGAATGTAATTTAATATTTATTATTTTATATACTTATTAAAAAGTTTGGTCAAAAAATATCAAAATGCTATCATTTTAGATTTTCAAGTTTTTTATTAACTTTGTACAACCATTTGCTAATTTATCTACCATCGCACAAATATTTGTTAATCCTCCATCATACAATCATTTCCGTTTCAATTTTTGAATGTAAAAACATTTGCTTGTTTATCTTTGATTGTAAAATCATTTACTTGTTAATCAGCGCCGGCCCGAGGAATTCTAGCGCCCCGGGCACGGATTCAAATTGCGCCCTTTATGAATTATGCATTTGTATAAATTATGAATCATTTATTTATTAAATTAAACAGGAACCAATTTAAACTTTACACAATACTAAAAATTTATTTTTCTAGCCTTCAAATCAGCAAACTTTTTAATTATTTTGGTTATGTCTAATTGTATTGCTATTTCATTTTCGATGGACAATATAATTTTTTATTAGCTTTAATTTGCTAAAACTTCTCTCACCACTTGCAACAGTAATTGTTATGGTAAGCATTATTCTTAATGAAATCCAAATATTTGGAACCATATTTTGCAATCCACTGGATTTTATAAAGTTCAAGTTATTTAGAGAAACTCTTTTGCACAACTTTCAAAACCAGTTATCCTATATTCTGTCAGAAATTCTGTACATGATTTCCTAAGTAAAACTACTGAGGCTATATAAATGGCTGCAGATTGCATAGATTTTCTAACAATATTTACATGGTATAAAATATTGTACCAGGTAACAAGCATTACTAAAAATTAAAAAGTGCTTATCTGTTCAGATAACGAATAAGCTTCGTGTTTAATGGCAATATCAGAGGTGTCTGATATTGCCATTAATTTTTCAACAGTTTGATAAGTTAAAAAATGTTCTTTAATCTCTATCTCATCGCTTGAAATATCAACAAATTTATTTATTTATTTTGTTTTTTTAAATTAGCTTTACAATGTTTTACAACATAATATAAAAGTTTTGAAAAATTCCGACTGGAGCTGGCAGAAGACATGGTTTTATCATCTAGCCCCGCTGTTACAAATTTAGATATAATCTTGTATATTATACACACGCATAAACTTTTTTTTTTTTCATTTTTTTTTAATTATTATTATTATTTTATTTATTTATTTTTATTATTGTTATTTTTATATCAATATAATAACATAACTTTGAAATCCTTTAACTTTGAAAAAAATTGAAACTAATAAATTTCTTGTGATAATTATTGACGAAACGATTTCTTGAAAAGCCCATATAAAAACATTAAATACAAAAATATCAAAAAGTATCAGTATACTTTACAAAGTCAAACCTATACTTTCCCAGAAGAATCTAAAATTCCACTATTTTTCTTATATCCAAAGTTACCTAACATGTGCTAATATTGCCTGGGGAAGTACAAATAAATCTAAATTAAGTTCTCTATATATACACCAAAAACACGCATCAAGATTAATTTATAATAAAAATAAATTCACTCATGCCGATCCTTTACTTAAAAACTTGAATGCTTGAAATATCTATCAAATTAACATCTACCAAAATATTTTATTTATGCTCAAATATAAGTTCGGACTCGTCCCAACTCATTTTACTAATAACTTTTTCCAAACCAACGCCAACAGATATATCACATGAGGAACCGGAAACCTTACGTTGCCCAAAAAAAAAACAAATTTTTCGAGATTTTCAATTGTATACCGTGGCCCCTATTTATACAACAAAATAATACCTCAAAATATAGAACTTACTAAACTGCAAAATCTTATAACCCTGAAGAAAAAACTATAAGATCTCATAATTAGCAAAACCAGTTTTATCTATATGTATTAAATATAAAAGAACAATTTACATAATAAAATTTAAAAAGAACAGTTTGAGCTATAAAAAAAATAATAATAACAAAAAAGAAATAAAAACTAAATTAAAAAAAATATATAATAAATACATATAGTTAGCAACTATACAAAGTAAAATATTACTAAACAGATGACTTCAAAAAGTGGCGGACCTGTACACGGTGCACTTTTTTTGAACACCGAGTTTAGCTAAACTCGGTAAAGTTCGTTAATTCTCGAAACGAATATTCTCAGTATTCGCATTTTGGTATTTTGCAGAATAGGCGCTAAACTATTACGTTATTGCGCCCCATAATGGTAACGTAGAAAATAGTAAAGCAAAAACTTTGCGTAAATGCATTTTAATAAAAATGTAATATTTTATAAAAAAATTTAAAACTATACAAATTATCAACATGTCAACATTAAATATTAGATTAAATAGATCTTCTAAAGGTACCTTCTCTTCTTAACATATCTTTTTGTGGCTTTTCTTTTTTTAATTAATTTTCTTTAGGTATCTCCTGGTAGCTTCTCTTCTTTGCATATTTTTTTGCGGCCAATCTTCTTTTAATCAATCTTCTAAAGGTATCTTCTGGTAGCTTCTCTTCTTTACATATCTTTTTGTGGTTAATCTTCTTTTAATCAATCTTCTACAGTTATCTTCTTCTTTAACGTATATTTTGTGTTGTACATAAAAAAAACAACAAGTTCAATACAAATATTATGAAGCATTTTCGGCCGGCTCTAAAACGGCGCACCCCAAAATCGGTAAATAACGAAAATTTTCGTTACGAAAATTAAAAGTCGATTTTCATTGGCTAATAAATTAAATTAGACTTGAGCACGTTTTCAACTTTTCAAGTTCACTTCAGTACACGACAACTTCAAGCAAGGCTACTTCTTTGGCAGAATTTATTGAAAGCATTAATGAAAAAAGGCTAATAAATGAGTTTGGGGTGCGCCGTTTTAAAGTCCGCCAATAATAAATAAACTAAATAAAGCCTTTGGTTAAACCAAAGACACTAAAAAATATGATTTGGTCTTCCCAACTAGTATATCAAAACATTGAATTTCTGCAATTGTTTTTAGAAGAAACTGAATATTAGAAAGAAGAAATTAAAACACAGGTGCTTATAACACTTCAAAATGGTATCAATCAAACATTGTGTTAAACTCAGTAACCTAGATAAAACTCAGATAGTCTAGCAAGAAACAGCGATAATCAAATTAAAATAATTTGAAATGCAATTTTTAGGCTTGTTTAAAACATATTTGAAGGTGTTAATTAATAATATTTCTAACTATAGAGACAAAAACTTTTAATACTTCAATAAGATTTAAACTATAAAAATTTTCATTATTACTTGCTTGCAAAATTGTGTAATTAAAAAAGTTATTTTAAAAACATGTCTTGTTATACACAGTGCATTAATAAAATCAAAATTTGTTATTAACTTCAGTAGAAGAAGCAGTAGCAGGGGCTGTACCATTATTGACATTCTTTGAGACAAAAAACCACAGGTATAAAAAACATTCGTAAATTATCCATGCCACAATTTCACATTTCATAACACCCAAAGAAAAATCAGTAGCAGCTTTTATTAAAATACTAAGTAAACAAGCTTTTCTTTTATGCGATTCATCATAGTTCCTATTACGATTATCATGATTCTCATAAAGGATAAACAATATGGCTAATTAAAATTTATACTTAATAAGTCTAAAATCTTCTTCTTGATTATTAAAGAAAACTAAATACTAGTTTTTATCGATGCAACTATAAACAGCTTCTACTTGTAACAACTCTCTGTCTTCCTTTCTTGTATCAAAAGGATATCGTGATATCAAAAGTTCTACACAATTAATATAATATTTTTTTACCTAACTTTATAGGAAATGATGCTTTTCTTTAACATACTAACTTTTTCTTTAAAATGCAATATTAGTTTGCGAATTAAATGACATTTTGAAGTAATCATCGGCCATGGTATATGTTTAATAAAATTAATTAATTTAATAAAACACAAATTAAGCAGGGTGTCCGAAAAAAAAGGGAAGTCCGAAATTTATTTTCCACATTTGAAACCTTTTTTTTTCTTATTTATTACTTCAAATGCAAGTTATTAAAATGATATACAATCTAGTGTAATAAAACAGGGGATGTCAATTGATATATTTTGATATATACTAGTTGTTACAAACTAATTTTACCTCCTGATGATAGTTAAACAATTAAACTTGATAAAAATTATGCTCAGGGTGTTTGTCAACGGGGAAGTTCAAAATTTATTTTTCAAAATTGAAACCGTTTTTCTCCTTATTCATTACTTCAAATGCCAGTTATTAAAATGGTACACAGTCTAGTGTAATAAAACTGGGGATGTCCAATGATATATTTTAATATATACTTGTTGTTACTAACTAATTTTACCTCCTGGTGATAGTTAAACAATAAAACTTGATAAAAATTCTACTCAGGGTGTATGTCACAAGGGAAGTCCAAAGTTTGTTTTAACTAAAATAATTATTTTAATTTTTTTTAAACCAATGAAAAAAAAAATTAAAAAAAAATAAAGTTCTATATAACATAATAAAATAAGGTATTTCAATTCAAGTTTCTAATTAAGTTATTTAACTCAAAAGCTAGTTTAACCATCCATATTGTAACTATTATTTTTTAACAATCGCAAAATTATGAAACCGATATAATATTTTCCGCTTTTTAATATTTTGGAATTTGAACCGTTTTCCGGTTTTTAATTTTTTTCCAACTGTTTCAGATAATTAACCGTGCATAATTTGTTTAGTTTTGGTTTTAATAGTTACATATAGTAAGTTTTTTTTCAACAATATAATCAAGTTAAAAACCTTTTATTTAATTTTTTGGGTACGTCCAACGACGTAGCAGACATCCCCAAGACACGCCCCTGCGTTTTAATGGCGTAAGTGAAGAGAAAAATTAAATAGTAAGAAAATGTCATAAACTTTTTACATTTTTGGTTCAAAATAAAAAGTGTCCAAGTATCTTACTTGGATCGAACAAAAGTTTTGTTGTGTATTGTGTTTCCATTCTTATTCCCTAACTTTCATCCATTAGGTGTTTTGCTAAGCGATCTGTAGTTTATAATATATTTTAATTGTCGAGCTTGCTCCTATGCTCAGCCAGTCCCGCTCCTCCATATTTTTATTTCATAAAAAAGATCCAAAATTTTTTTCCTGGAATCTTTCTTTATCAATTTCAAGTCAGTATATAGAAGAAAGGGACTTTAGAATAGAAAATTTGTCTTTGAAATAATTGTTGAGCCCTGGATCTGACTAAACAATCAAAAAAAGTACATCTTGTTCTAATGTGTAAAATGCCATGGATTTTTCACTGTTGTTCAAAAATAACAGTACTAAATGCTGCAAAATAGTATCAAAAAGCGAAATAAAATTTTTTGCAACAACATTCTGACTAAGTTTGATAGCTACCTAATTCTTGATGACAAAAGTTATGTCCAATTAGATTTTAAATAAATACCTGGTCACAGATTTTATGCTGGTATTAAGTGCGAAGCCTTGGAGCCTAACTTCATCGTTTACTGTAGTTTGGAAGTGAACATGCGCGTATAAATTATAATAAATTGTTTGTTTTTCCGACAAATGATGTTAATTATTTTTGTATACTACGTTTTTGTTAATGTATTAAACATGTAAAAAAAAAACAGAATAATTTTTTATAAAAATATAAACGTCTTTTACATAATTGCAGCCATGTATCACATAGTATCATAATCATTGGTCGTAGAAGGTTGATAAGGTAGATAACAAAGTCACCACTATGAACTCATGGAATTAATGAGTTTGATTAAATGTTAAAAGCACTACTTCATACTTTTTGCATAGAAAAATATAATATTTACATCGACAAAACGCATTTGATGATTTAAAAATTGTTATTTTTTAAATATAAATTATGATAAAACTATTCAACATATTTTACTTTTCGAACAAAATAACAGCTTAATATCAATATCGGGCAATATCTCAATATAAGGCTAATACCACATCATCATAAAAGTTATAGTTGTCTATTTTAGTTTTCTACAAAAATGTTAAAAGGGTCTACCTTGAAAAAAGATGCACCTTATGTGACGCTGTTAGAAGATTACACGTGGTTGTTGAATTAGTTTGAACAGATTTTCTTGAAACCTATTTTTCATATACAATTAACAATAACTGAGTTTTCGAATTCACAGATGAATACTATAAGATGAAAAATGAATTTTAAAATTTACAGATTAAAGTTTTGAAAAAAAAAATCATGTATATATTTTTATTATTTATAATTTGCACAAAAATTTTTTTTATATATATTTTATGTATGTTTACTGTAATGCTATTTAGCTTGTCATAAACGAGTTAATCGTAATATAGATTTTGAAAACTACATTCATATAATAAATAGATGAAAAGTAATTGATTTTTTTATTTTGTTTGTTTTATTTCAAAAATAATATTCTGCTTTTATTCTCAAGTGAAATTAATATTCTGCAAAAAAAATAAATCATAAATTATATAATTAATAGTTACATTATAAAGTAAATGAGTTAAAAAACTATAAAAATTAACATTTTACAATCGAAAATAAATGCAAATAAAATCCGCAATAAAAATAAAACCAAAGCAACAATATTTTTTTTAAATGCAAAAATAAGAATCATTTTTTGCAATCAAAATAAAAACAATTAAAAAATTTCCAAGTTACAAAACATGAGTTCAAGTTGCTTTAAAGTTAAACTTTCCGTACAAAACAAATTCATAACATAAAAGAATCAAATACCTGTTATAAGTAAACGAATGTTTGACAGTTTTAAAAATTTAATTCAGTTTTAAAAATTTAACGAATAAAGGTTGCGAAAAATGTGCTCCAAATAATAAAAATATGTAATGTCTTAAATGAATCAAAAATCTAAAAAAATTATTAATTTTAACAGAATTGCAAGTAATCAAAATATTTAGTTTTGACTTCAATTCTGTCACGTGAACACAGGAAAGAATTATTTTAATTTTTTTGTCACATTTACAAAAATAATGAAATTTTTTTTTTAAGATCTTTACTATGCCACCGAAAATTTTTGAAATAATTAAAAATAAATTAATATCATTTTTAAATTAAAAATAGTTTAAAAATAAATCAAAAAATTATTAAATATACATTTTTTTAATTATTATTTACTAAAAAATAGGAAAAAATTATAAAATATCGCCACTAAAGCTTAATTTACATCTTCCAAATTCGGGTGCTTATCAAAATGGTGTGTTAACCAACTTTGTGTGTTCATCATCTTCCAACTTAGAATGTTCCTCAACTACTTCAGATAAAAGTTTTAATGCACGTTCTTCATTAACTAGCTGTCTATTTTTTGGATTTTCTGGCTTTTCATCTTTAGATAATGAAAATGAGGTAAACGGTAAATCTAGAGAATCTTCACGTGATTTTTGTAAATCTAAATTTTTACTATACGCATTTGGTAGATTTTCTCTTTGTATTTTTTGTAAATCTATTGCGTCTTCACTTTGTTTATTTGATACATCTTCTTTGCTTTCACTTTGTGAGTGAGTCAATAAGTTTACACGTTCTGGTGAAAGTAAGTTTTTGAGACTGTTTTGCGTCAAAAACAGCCCAAACTTATCAATTGTTTGAAAATTAGCCTTGTCTGTAACTAAAAAATAATTGTCAAAGTATTTACTGAAACGCATTAAATTTATTTGTTTCTTAAAAAAATACAGAAAAAAATGATTTTAATTACTGATTTTGTATTTCAATAAAAATATAATTTGATTTTAATATATATATATATATATATATATATATATATATATATATATATATATATATATATATCATATTATATTTTTATAGAAATATAAAATCAGTTTTTAAAATCATTCATTTCTGTATTAAAAAAAATATATATATATGTATATATGTGTGTGTATATATATATATATATATATATATATATATATATATATATATATATATATATATATATATATATATATATATATATATATATATATATATATATATATATATGTAAAATTTTAATTACAATGTGCACGCAGTATATTTACCACTCTCTGATGTCCCTTGATTGCAAATTTATTTTGTATTTCAATAAATTTGCAAGAAAGAAATTGGCTGACTTAAATTTCAGCAATATAAATAACTCTAATTTTTTTAAAAATTTACACATTTTTATACAAGAAATACAAAAGTATGTTAAAAAATTTTAGGGATCATAAATTTTATAATTTTAATATGTTTCGTCTATAAAAAAAATTTTTTAAGTTTCTTCCTGTTGTTTATGTGTATCAGCGAAGATGACTACTTGTTATAAAGCCTATTATTTTCCCATGGTCATAAAAAACACTAACCTTGCTCTATCCTTATAATTTGAGCAATATATATATATATATATATATATATATATATATATATATATATATATATATATATATATATATATATATATATATATATATATATATATATATATATATATATATATATATATATATATATATATATATATGTATACATACACATATATATAGCCCTCGGAATTAGGGCCAGCTTTCGCCAATGCCGACCTCAAACACTTTGAGTTTTTGCCGATAAATAAATTTTTTTATTTATCGGCAAAAACTTAAAGTTTCTATGTTTTATGGTAACTCTTTATGTCAAATCTTTTTTGCCGAACTGAACCGAACTGTCAAATCTTTTTTGCCGACATGCATATATATATATATATATATATATATATATATATATATATATATATATATATATATATCCCATAAACTGTAGTTTTAAAGAGCGCGTTAATAAACCAGACTAGAAAAAGTTTAATAAAACTTTAATAATTTGTTTTCCTTAAATAATAGACTGCCTGCCCAAACCAAACCCTCAGTCGATGCACTCCCTTGTGAGTCAGGCTATTTGTCAGTCTATGTAGCAGCACTCCAATGTGAGTCAGGCTGTAAGATAGTTGATGTAGCAACACTCCGTTGCGAGTCAGGCTATAAGAGAGTCGATGTAGCAACACTGTGTGTTGCAACACTCCGTTGTGTTATATATGTTGTGTGTATATATGTGTATATATATGTTGTATATATATGTGGTGTTGTATATATATGTTGTATATATATGTATATATATGTTGTATATACATGTTGTGTATATATATGTTGTGTAGCCATACTCTGTTGCGAGTCAGGCCATAAGAGAGTCGATGCAGCAACACTATATGTCAGGTCAGGAGTATGGCCTTCATGATCATCCTGCTACTGGTAACATGTAAGCCAGTGCAACCTGTTCCATGTTCTGCTGCCTTGCAGGATTTGCTTTCTAAGCAAAGGCTGGAAGGAGTGTGCTTCCTGTCATCAATACTATGACTCATTCATAGATAGAGGCTGTGCTCTATCTATGAATGAGTCAAGTTCTCATTAAACCCAAATCATGACCAAAGTAACCAAAAATTTTAAACCTAAAAAACCATCCCCACCACCTAAATGTTTTAATATATCTTTTACAAATATTCGTGGTCTACGAAGCAACTTTCCGTCAGTTAAGTCTTACCTCCTGCAAAATTCACCAGACTTGCTTGCACTCAGTGAAACAAATTTAAATTCTGCAATTCCTTCTTCAGATGTCAGTGTTGATGGGTACTATCCTTTGATTCGTAAAGACTCCAATAGTCACATGCTAGGTTTAGGGGTATACATACGCATTAATTCCCTTATTTGTCGTGAAATCAGGTTCGAATCCTTTGACCATTCTTTTATGTGCTTTCGCCTAGCACCTCTTCACTCTAGCACCTTTCTCTTTGCTCTTTATCGTTCTCCTTCTTTGGGCCTTATCCTCGCACCACCTACTTATCATCGCACCACCTACTACTACCCTAAAGCTGACTGGGATTCTTTTCGTGATTTTCTTCGTGATGGTCCTTGGGCTGATGTTTTTTCTCTCTCAGCTGATAAATGCGCCTCCTATGTAACCTCCTGGATTCAGGCTGGAATGGAAGCTTTTATTCCTTCTTGTCAGTTTCAAGTCAAGCCTCATTCTACTCCATGGTCTTCTCCTTCTTGTACGGCTGCTATATCCAATCTTAATCATTTTTTTCATCTTTTTCAAAAGAACAACTCTCTTGAGAACAAACGGCTATTTATTATTGCAAGAAATCGATGTAAAAAGGTGCTTCTGATGCTAAACTCCATTATTCTCAGTTCACTAAATCTCACATCTTATCACAGAAGTTAGGCTCTAAAGACTTTTGGAAAATCTTCAACAGCATTATTAACAAGGGTAGATCTAACATTCCATCTCTCATTCATGGGACTGATCTTATTACCTCTCCCAAGGATAAGGCAGAACTATTTGCAAAGAACTTTTCTTCTAATTACACTCTTGAATCTTATGGACATTCTCTTCCTTCCATTCCAGTCAAACAGGTCGACCCATTGTTAGACAATCAAATCACTCCCGCTTCTGTTGCTAAAGTTATATCTCAATTAAACTTGTCTACAGCTTGTGGTCCAGACAACATTCCTGTCACAGTCTTGCAGAACTGTTCTCCAGAACTTTCTTCAATTCTCTCTAAACTATTTAACAAGTGTTTGACTGAGTCTTGTTTTCCTGCTTGTTGGATAAATGGCATATGTGGTTCCAATATTCAAAAACTCTGGAGAAAATTCTGACCCCTCCAATTATCGTCTGATCAGTCTTCTTTCTGTTATTAGCAAGGTCTTTGAGTCTTTGACCAACAAATTCCTCACATCTCATCTTGAGTCAAATAAACTGCTGTCAGACAATCAATATGGTTTTCGATCCTCTCGCTCTACGGCCGACTTGCTAACTGCTGTAACTGAAAGATTTTATCGTGCATTAGATGGAGGCGGTGAGGCTAGGGCTATTGCTCTCGACATATCTAAAGCTTTCGACAAAGTTTGGCATGCTGGTCTTCTCCATAAGCTTGCTTCATATGGTGTTTCTGGGAAAGTTTTTTGAGATAATCAAATCATTTCTTTCTAACCGGTTTATTAAAGTCATCCTTGAAGGCCAACACTCTTCTTTATTTCCAGTAACTTCTGGGGTTCCCCAAGGTTCCATCCTGGGCCCTGTTTTGTTTCTTATCTACATAAACGATCTTCCTGACAACCTTTCATCTAAAGTAGCTCTTTTTGCTGATGACTCAACTTTATACTCCTGTCTTGACAAAAAGTCTTCTTTTTTCAATCGCCTAGAACAAGCAGCTGATCTTGAATCCGATCTCACTTCAGTAACAGATTAGGGTTCACAGTGGCTTGTGAATTTCAACTCTAACAAAACCCAGTTGTTTACTGCAAACAACTACTGTAATATGGTCAACATTCCTATATTAATGAATGGCAATCCTCTTACTGAGTCCTCCTCTTTACGTCTTCTTGGATTATCGCTTACTACTGACCTTTCATGGAAACCATATATACAATCGATTGCTAAATTTGCTTCTGCTAAGGTTGCTTCTCTTTATCGTGCTCGTCATTTCTATACTTCTGATTCCATTCTCTACCTCTACAAATTTCTTATTCGTCCCTGTATGGAATACTGTTGTCATATTTGGGCTGGTTCTTTTAACGATTCACTTTCTCTTCTTGACAAGGTCCAAAAACGCATTGTAAATGTTGTTGGACCTGGACTATCTGCTAAGCTTGAGCCTCTTTCCCATCGTCGTAAAGTTGCATCTCTTTCTCTTTTCTACAAATACTATCATGGTCACTGCTCAAAGGAGTTATCATCTCTAGTTCAATCAACTAAAATTCATTCTCCTTTTACTCGTCATTCAGCTAAGTCTCACTCGTTTACTGTATCTGTCCCTGCATGCTCTAAAAACTTTTATTCATCTAGTTTTTTTCCCCGCACTTCAATCCTTTAAACTCTCTCCCATCTTCATGTTTTCCTGACTCATACAACCTTTAACTTTTCAAGTCTTCTGTCAACGGTTTCCTTGCTCTATAACTCTGTTCTTTTTTTTTCCTAGTAACTCCCAACTTAATAGTGGTTGCTTGCAGCCTTGTTGGGAGTGAATGCAAATAAAAAAATAAAAAATAAAAACACTCTCTTGTAGCAGCAGGCTATAAGTCGATGTACCAACACATGTTTTAAAAATATATTTTAATAAAACAACAACAAAATCACCATTAATTAAAAAAAACTTTCTAGCCTTTATTATTGTGGTTTTTTTAAAAAACAAAAAATTTAATGTACTTCCGCATTAATTTAATTGCTTTGACATTTTGACAACAATAAAATGTAGCTTAATTGTCGAGGTAGCAAAATTGTAGTCGAAAGAGACTTTTTTTACCATAAAAGTCTCTTGCAACTATGATAAAAGGATATATATATATATATAATATATATATATAAAATATATATATATATATATATATATATATATATATATATATATATATATATATATATACACACACACAAACACAAACACAAAGAGCTGCCAAGAGCTTTCATGACGCTTGGGGCATAGCAGCAATTAGGCGCCTCTATAAACATGCATAATTTTAAATTAAAAGTATATTCAATTATACCAGTTAATGATTGTGTTTTTGTTTCTAATAACGTTACTTTACACTCATATTTTCAGGGAAAACTGCATATCCA